CCTGTAAGAATAGCTTTTGAGTCTATTGACAAAACGTGGTGTGGAGAACAGATCGGAGATGTTAATTTTGTTCTAGTTTCATGACACTTGTTTATACATAGAAAAGGTAGATGCTAACAGTGCCCTGAAGGGGCAAAGAAAAAAAGACCATTAATTCTCACTCGCTTTGGTCAGTTTGTCATCCAGTTGGCCAGTCAGCTCGCATGTGCTTCCTGTCTAACTGATGACCTAGTGAATATAGGTGGGAGTGTGAAATGTAGCTGTTCAGGGCAGTATAAAAACATAGGTAAGTGCTGAGATTTACTGCAGTAGAGAATATTGGGATGAAAACCCAGCATTCCTTGTGTTGCTTTCAAAGCAACTTGTTCAAGCATCAGATCTCTGAGCAGTCTGAAGTTGTGTTTACTTGCTCTGTGTATTTTTTAGAGACATTTTAGAGATGCTGTTTGTTTACTAAAGCTGTAGAAAATGCTGTTGTCTAATACCTGTCAGACTTAATGTAATGGAAAAACAGGTGATGCTTGCCTGCAAATTAGAGGAGACCTGCTCTGTTCTGCTGAATTAAACAACCGAAATACTGAATTAGTGGATTGATCATGCAAGTGTTGTTAAGGCACTTCACTAACAACATTAGCTTGCTTGTGGTAGTGAAGAGTGATGTACTGAGTATACAAATAGGACGCTTGCTGTCCATCTGCATCTATCCGAAACTAGAGTTGAGGGACTACCTGAAAGGTCATGAAGACCTTTGCATACATGCTATAATCTAGTGATTAACTCCAAGGTAAAATTTCGTAGCAGTTACTGTCTATGAATACTCAATTTCTACTTCAGCTTTTGTGAGGGTCTTAACGTATTTTGTGGCCTTTTTGAAATTCTTTTTTAGTTTAAAGAATGCACTGCATCTTGATGGCAGGGTGATGCTGAAGATCTCCCTGGCAGCAGACACTGACTTTTTTTTCTTGTCTAGTTGGACAAGGGCTCACGGAGCAAATTTTTTTTTTTTGGTAGGAAACATCTATGTTTCTGGGTGCAGAAACTGTTTCTCTTGCTTTTTCTGCTGTCAGGCTGACTTTTCTGTCTTGTTACATGTTACTAGTAATTTATCAAGGAGATGTTTGACTCTTCCTGAGAGAGTTGGGCAGGCCAGCTGGCTGCCACTTCTCAGGGGCTGACTGCTGCAGGAGGTCTCCTCGGACTTCTGCTTTGTGAACATCATTTGCTGTTTTCAAGGGGGAAGGAAAAGCTCAGCCAGCACAAAGAACCCTGGGTACTAGGTTTTTTTGTTAAAACTTTGATTCTGGGCTTATCACCAGGGGAAAATTGAAGTCGGAAGGCTTTTAGCTATTTGTTTCCCAACCTCCTTTTTCAATATTTTAGCAAGTTGCATAAGGAAACAGAAAGTTGGTTGTCTTCCAGTGTAAACTGGCAGGTCAGACATAAACTGTTCCCTTTCTTCATTCTACCTTGCTGTAGGTTGTTCTGCAAGGGACACAATGACTTGATCAAAACAAGATTAACCAACTGTTTGCCAGAGAGCAAATGTAATTTTAATATTTGACTTCGGTTCTAATGGGTAGTGACTGAGACCGAGTGCAGATATTTTAAATTTCTTCAAATATTAAAGGGCTGAAAGGTACAGTTATAGCAATGGTGTTCTTCTAATTTTCTCCGTTATCTGCCAAGGCATGAAATGCTGTTTGTGTGATACTGTTAAATCACCATTACTGAAGTACTTCAAAAAGTTAGTCTGTAACTGACCTTCTTTCCTGTCCTGGTCTGATTTTTCAATGGCTCCATTTTTGTGAAATACTGCTTCACATTATTGTGAAACTAGCAGGACGACTTCTATTTTCTACATTTAGTTCTTTTCCACATTTAGTAGATTTCAGTCACAAATGGTTTCTAACTGTGCAACTGAAGCTTTCAGATTTTTGTGTTCTCATGTTAGAAGAAGGTTCGAAGCAGCTTTGGGACAAAACCAATGCTCATTGTGTTGACGTGAAATAGTCCAGCAAAAAATTACCAAGAATACTGGTGGACTTGCAAAATTTTCAGTTGTCAGAAGCAGCCAAAAAAAGGTAATGAAAACAATTTGGTATGAAATGGGGAAATTGTACTATGAGGTTATACTGAACAAACTGAGAAGTATGTGCTCGAGTGGCAATACTGACTATGGCTTTGTTCAGCTTTATTTGGTTGCAGCTGTTCTGTGATCCTGATCTTTCAATGAGTCTGGAGAGAAACTGGAGGAAAAAAAAAAAATCATGAACACAGTTATTCCAGATGAGAAAATAACCCATCATTTCTCAGTCAATAAATAAGTCTCTAATACCTACACAAGAGTATCCAGTAGTGTTTCCAGCTGCAGAGCAGGCTTTTAAAAGCTGTTGAGGTGAATTCATAGGTCAAAGGATCAAGTGGTGATTGCTTTCCTGCTGACGTATACGAGCATGAAGACACTAGGTGGGTAAAGACCTCCAAGAGTAGCTGTTTTCTCTCTCTTATTTGCAAAGAGAAAGATAAGTACTAGTGATAACTGTTTCAGTCGCAGACAGCCTTCTGAACTATGGGTCAGGAGACTTAGTAGTTGAATAGATCCTCCCAGGAGGTTGGTGCAGTTTCTGATTGTGTCAAAATATGATGACAGCCAGGCAGATGCTAGGAAAATTCAGAGCTGTTTGAAAGTAGCAGTCCGTAGCAGGTTTTTGGCAACTATTAGGCTTTGCAAATTTGACTAAGCAGAGAAATTTGTATCATTCATTCATACCACGGAGGTCAGGCAACAGAGGTGCTCAGTCAAGGGAGAAAGGCTCCAACAGTTGCTTTCAGAAGTGGCTCTCAGGCAAGATCATGCAGCTCTTGCTCTTTTGCATCATGAATGCTTCTTGATATGTCCTATTGATGTAGATTCCTTTAGCATCTCAGCTGAGATGCAGTGCTAAGTAAAAAGTAATAGAGCTGTTGGCTTGGCAGCAGAATGTTTTAAACTGCATTTCCTACAATACCAGCACAGAAAAATGTCTTGTTTTAGCCTTGTCTTTGCAGAAAGCATGCTGAGCTTCTACTGTGAAATAAAAATGAGACTCTAAAATCTATAAACAAATGCTTTTTGCAAGTGGCAGCATGCTTTCTTTGAATACAATAATTGACAGTGTTTCACACTAGGAAATGAAAGCCAATTCTTCAGAATGACAGACCTCCAGTTTCAAGCAGAATTAAGCGCATATTGTAGTGTTGTCTTCGTTCTTGGTAGCTGTGATGCTTTCCATCTCAGTGGACTCTACTTGTACTATGAGCCCTTGCCCACATAACATGGCAAATAACAACCTGAATGCTGTCACCTGAAGTTTTTATGAAAATGCTCGGTCTTGAACCACTGCAACTCCTGGCTGTGCTGTGCTGATCTGAGTGTGTGTGTGTATGTCTAATAATGTATTTTTGGGAAGATTTCCTACACGCAATTAAAATGTGGTGAGTGGCTGAAGAGACAGTTCAGCGAAACACAGACAAAAGCAAGGCAATTTGTCAGTTATGTGGCATTAATTTCATAGTGAAGGCGATTACAGTTAATGTTTATTTGCTTTGAAAGCATATGTACTCATGGCCTTAGAAGCTTGCAAACTAAGCTGGATTGATGTGGGCAGTACAAACATCCGTGGATGTTTGTGCCTTTCAAGGCCCAAGATAGTGTTTTGGGCAGTAGCATGGTTTACATGATATGTTTCTCTCACATTTTTCTCACTCCTTCCTCCCACAGCTGCTATGCAGCATTTTCTACCCTTTCTTAAATATGTTATCACAGAGGTGCCACCAGCATAGCTGATGGGCCCAGCTTTGGGCAGCAGCAGGTCCATTTTGGAATAGGCTGGAACTGGCTCTCTCTGACAGGGAGCTACTCCTGGTCTCTTCTCACAAAGGCCACCCCTACAGCACCCCTCGCTACCAAAACCTTGCTGCATAAACCCAATACGCTTGTCGAAGCAGTTGGGTGGTGGTTTTTTTTTTTTTTTGAAAGCAGGATTTGGTATCACCCTTCCCTTTTCTCTTTTGTTTCATCGTTGAGTATTTTGATCTCTGAAGTATTTTCTAGAAACAGTTTAGTTATTGAATAGTTATTTTTATTGGTAGCACATATATGGAGGAATGTTCACTGTGCTTTAAAACAATATCGGTCTAAAACTTTTCAGCTATGTCATTCTCCCCTCTAAACACATACTCTCAGGCTTATTTCTGTTTGCAGACTCCCATTTCATAAAATGAAAGACTCCCAATATAAAATTTTGTGTTCAGGCCATATATTTCCAAATAGACTTTTCTTTCTGGAGACACAATTGTGTACATTGTTGAAAATAATTGTTGGATAAAATTCATAAGCATTTATTATACATTATTGAAGATAACCCACATAACATATGTTTGTTTGAATGTTCTTGTATTTTTAAGCAAAACCAAAGAAAAATTTTCTTACCAGTTGTTATGATTTAGTAGCATAATGTAGTACAATTATTTTAAGAATTAGGTAGTTTTAATGCAAGGTAACATCAAAAGTAATTTGTTTCTCTTCTTTGCCTTTGGTATTGTTTCAGCTAATGTTTCAGAACAGGGCTTGTTCACATAACAATGCTATTATTAATAACCTTAACATGCTTGAGGCCAATTGTGTTGGATATGTAGATTTACTAGAGAAATTGTAGAAATTTTTATCTTGACAATGAAAAAATTAACAAAAAGCACGTATAGCCTGACACTTCAAAAATTCTGAAAAGTCCAGAAAACTGTCTTGCTTAAGATCACTTAATTATATTTGATCCATCTGTTAAGGCTTCTGGAATATAACTCTAAGCATTGTATGCAAAAATTAGTTGGCATTTCATTAGAGTTATCTTGTATAAATACAAAACCCAAGTAAAACTGGGTTATAACTTCATCTCAAACTTTGGTTACATGTAAGTTTGAAATTGTTTTTTATTTTTATTTTAAACAAATTTATTTTCTAGAAAAGAAAGATGTAACACAGAGCTTGGAAAGCTACACGGCAAAATGCCCTGGTACAATGGAATTCATCACTCTTCCAGATGGTTTGAAGTTACCTCCTGTTCCGTTCACCAAATTGCCTATTGTGAGGTAAGACTCCAAAATACAATCTTTAACTTTTCCACAGTACCTGTCAAATTTTAAAGGATACTGGAAGGATGTAGTCTTCTCAGTTTCCGTAAGTTGTTCACAATAACATGGAAAAATGTCAAAATGTCAAATTGTATTGAGTTGTTCTTTGGCAAAAATAGAGCCTTTGAGCAGAAAATACTTTCTGTGGCCTTCAGTTTCAGAAGGAGAGTTGTGGTTTTTTTTAACTGTCATTCAAGAGTTTCTAATACAATCGAAGGAAAGTATTTTGTAATTGCAGCTGAGACTTAAGTTAGATACCTGATCATACTGAAGGTCCACGAGTTGGATGCTGTCTCCATCCGTGGAGCCTGGGACTCAGCTGGAACTGATGCCTTTTGTAGCTGTTCCTTTCCAGATGCTGCATTTTCAAGCTGGCACCTTCACTGGCCTATTGTAAATCCACGTTCCTTCTTGTGCCTGTGTGCCAAGGCACATCATGCAGTCAGTCCAATGAATAATACCTTGTTTAGATTAAAGCCTAGCATGAAGTATTAGAGAGAGTCAGAGAGAGAGAGAAAACAGCCCTTGGGCATCAATAATAAAAGGCTAAAAGAAAATCTTTGTCAAGAAGCGGCTTTTTGAAGGAAAGATAATTACTATTCAGAAAAAATACGGTAGAAGTTATTGAAGAGTTCTCATAGAGATTTGAGTTCTCAGTGGGATGTCATCACACATGTCATGTAGCAAGAGTTCTGGTATCACAAAGAGATAATAAAGTGTATATCCAAAGAGTGAAAATTATATTTATTTTCAGATTACTTTTAGTCTCTAAAATGAAAATGAATGTTTTACTCTGACCATTTTTCATGATATAACTAATTTTACTATGTTCTCTCTAACTTCTTCAAATTTTTTTTCACATTTACTGAAGAAAGAGACCTTGTCTAACTATTTGTAGTGCATTTAACATGATAGGTATGTTCACACGAATAATTTGTTGCGTGTGAGGTTCTTGCTTAAGGTGCAGGTTTAACTGGAGCATATGGTTGTATGCGGTCAGATGGAATCGTATGCAGAATCAGAACGGTCACACCGTTTCCAGTGGTGTCCTGGAAACAGTGTTTTTTTTCTCCTGGTTGGACCAAGTACAAAGCTGTGCACTGACTAGCCACCTGGGTCACCCCACTTTCAATGTGTACTCACGGGGGAAAAATGCATCTTCCCTGAGGCCTTCTGGCATTGTCCCCTCAGTGGGTTCAGTTAGCACTGACAAATCATCTAGGATGACTTTGCAGATACCTGCTTTGTGCGGCCTGTTCAGTGGTGCAGTGCATACTTGGGAGTTGCAGCTGGTATCAACTTCTTTGCTGGAAAACATGCAATGTGGACATATGATCCCAAAACCTTAACTGTTAGAACCAAAGCTATGTATTACAGTGGGAAAGTTATTTGAGTAATTTATTATCAGCTGACCTTGGGGTTGATTTAGTTTCACAAAAAAATCTATGTGTAGAGCTAAACTAGTGATATTTGACTATCCTAGATCATACTTGCAGTCAAGACACATAGGTAGTCACTTCCAGGTTTTGTAATTGAATTTAGATACCTGCTTTAGGATGAGTTGAATTACTGGGGTATGTGGACTGTATTGACTCATTTTCCATTGACCTTAAAGATGTCCAATGACAAATTCAGGTAACTGTCTGTGTGTTCCCTGTAAGTACATCCTGAAGGCAGGTTCCCAGCTAAATACGTGAAGGAGGACTCTATTTCTTCTCCTGAAAGTTTTTAGACAGCAAACTTAGTGCAAATTTTAACCTAGCCTTTTTTTTTTAGAAAGAAAAATTAAATAGTATTAAAAAAATAGAAGTTAATTACTTGAGTTACGTGATTGTAGAGAGAAGTTAGAGCAAAAGCTCCCATGAAAACGTTTTTAAGGCAAAATACTTTCTTTTGAGAGCAAGAGTGCTGCCAGCCACTTAGTGCCTCTTCCAGATCTCTGTTCTAGGAATAATCTTAGTATTACACAGTATAAAACCAAAACTACCTTCCCTAATCTGACAGTGTATGGTATCTCTCTGCCTTGGCTGTCAAATAGGTGCAGAGATGTGATGCTAAAGTTCCCTTGAGTCTAACCCTTAACTTGTGCTGAAAAAGCAGCATTGTGTTTAGCTGCGAAGTGTTAAATCCTGAATTAGTCTCAGGTTTTTGCTTTTTGCTTAAATTTTAAACCATGGAGAAGGTGGATTGTACTGCACTATGTATTCCATAGTGCTTTCTTCTTCTTCTCCATGCTGAATATTGAAGAAAATTCAAGTCTGGAAGATATGGGAAATGCTGATTGAATCCTTTTTTTAATAGGAGTTGTACATATAGAGGCCAGTCAAAACTTCAGCAACAGATTACCAAGACTTCAATGGGAAAGGCTCTGCCTCACTTAAAATGTTTTGTATGCTGAGGGAAGGGGACAAGCACATTATATTTACTTGTGATTCCTAGGGCTAGCTTTAAGAAATTGCTTACCATCCAGGTGCTTCATTTACACTACCAGCTTGCACTGACCTGGCTGTGCTTGGAGTGTTGAAAATAGTTGCTGCTGTTTTGCCATGGGGTGAGGAACCCAACATCAACATTGTTTAACAGCTAAGAATTGCTCTTTGTGCTCCTCTCTCCCTTCCCCCTTCTTGTGTTTTGAAAGTTCTATTAAAGCCATAGTGATAAAAATCCATAATCCAACAAAATATTAGTTGCGTCTAAATATATAGCCTCCAGTTACCTCTACACAGCAGACCTAGTGTATTGTAGAGCTGTCCAGCTAGTTGGAAAATAGCTGTGCTGCAGGACCGCAGAGCTCTTTGAGCTAAATCATGTTAATTTTTGAGACGTAAATTATAAGTGTGTGGAAATGTGGTTTTGATCAATGTTGAATAACCTAAGCTTTATGATTCAATCCATGCTAGAGCCCTCTAGAAACATACACATTTACTGATTATGATGACTTCTATTTACTGTGGGCATTTCATGGTCTGCTAGTTTGTAATCCATTTAATGTGGAGTGTTTATTTTGGATGCAGATTTCTTAATCAAAATACTGTGAAACATTGAAATGCCACAGTGAAATCAGAACATAGTTGCACTGTTACCTTTTTCTCCCCCATACCTATAAAGCAATAGAAAAGATTTGGCTTGGCAAAATCTTTATATTCCATTACTCATGTTAACTACTATTTAATGTCTAGCTGTCCTTTATTTAAGTATGGTATTCTTTATAGTCTTTCTTTTTTTTGTATTTATCCTGTCTTTTAACTAGATGCTTGGTCTATTATTGATGTGCTTTAAATGTTATAATATTTTTATGTATTTTCTTTTAGCCTTTGGAATTTTGGGATTTTTTTCAAATACTGTAGTGCAATCTGGAAAGCTCCTTGAATGAATTTTTATTTCTTTTGATGAAGCTTCAGAAATTAAAAGCATGTTGGATTGGAAAGTATTCCATTATAGCATACTATGAAATCATCATCTAGTATTTTCTCAAATAAAAAATAGAAGAATTTATTTTCTTTCTGTTCTAAGAGATGCACTATTCCCATTTTCAGAATTTACCTGTGTTAAAACTCATTTTCTTACTAATATACTTAAAAGAAAAAAGAATTTTCTTCCTTTTCACCACTGAAGTCTTTTAGTTGTCCTTATGTACTTTTCTTACTACTTTAAATTTACTTGGTGCCATTTTTTTCCTTTCCTCTGTTTACTTAGTAGAGTTGGGTTTTTTAAAAATTATTTTCATTTCCCCTCTAAGGAAGGTTGTTTTTAATGAACACAACTTTTTCCAAATAGAAGATTTTGATCTTCTGGGTAGCTAGTGAAATTATTTTGTAATTCCTAATTGTCACTCATTTGAATTCAGTTGGGCTGAGCCAGGGGCTAGAAAATGTACATTGCTGAAGCTTTTCTGTCGTGGTTTAACCTCAGCCGGCAACTGAGCACCACACAGCTGCTCGCTCACTCTTCCCCCCACCCCCGGTGGGATGGGGAGAGAATTGGAAGAGTAAAAGTGAGAAAACTCGTGGGTTGAGATAAAAACAGTTTAATAATGGAAATAAAATAAAGTAAAATAGTAGTAATAATGATAATAAATAGTAATAATAATGATAATAATAAAAGAATATCCAAAGCAAGTGATGCACAGTGCAATTTCTCACCACTCACCAACCGATGCCCAGCCAGTCCCCGAGCAGCGGCCCCCCCGGCCAGCTTTCCCCCAGTTTATATACTGAGCATGACGTCACATGGTATGGAATGTCCCTTTGGCCAGTTTGGGTCACCTGTCCTGGCTGTGCCCCCTCCCAGCTTCTTGTGCACCTCCAGCCTTCTCAGTCGGTAGAGCATGGGAAAATGAAAAGTCCTTGACTAGTGTAAGCACTGCTTAGCAACAACTAAACCATCGGTGTGTTATCAACATTGTTCTCATCCTAAATCCAAAACACAGCACTGTACCAGCTCCTAGGAAGGAGATTAACTCTATCCCTGCCGAAACCAGGACATTTTCACACAAAGGTATTAAAAAATTTTCCATGTGCCATGTATGACCTGTGAGGGTATAGCTGTCTAATATATGGCTGAAGAACATTCCTTCCACTGTCATGCCTTAAGATAAAAAAGGTTATCCACCAGTATTTATATAATAATGATGGATCAGCCCAAGCACTTCTTTATATAAAGTAAAATTCCTTTTTATTAGCACTTTATCTAATTTAATGTTTGTTTCCTCAAATAAGTATCATTCACATGTTTTGCTTTAAGTTGCATTCTAATTTGTAACAAAATTCTATCAGAAGAGTTTTCAAAATATGAAATAGTCAGGAATCTGTCATAGTTTCTCTCTATTCCTCAGGCTCGTTGTCTACTATTTTGCATTTGATTGTGATGCTGACATTAAATATCACCAACAGATAATATATGGATGTGATTTATTTCTTGTTCCAAAATACTTTTAGTGTTATCTAGTAACTTCTTAT